CTTTCTACATGCGGTCCTACCTTTTCTACGTCAGTACGTTTAAGGAAGTTACAAATAATGGAAAAAATTATTAAATCTAGCTCCCTAACGAAATTGAGAGTCGAGCAAACCAGAGTTAAAGCTTAATTCTTCAGCAACACTGTCATACTGATATATTGGGCAGCTTCATAATAAAAGGTTTCGCAGAAATTGTTTGTTTCATTTGCCAACAGTCTCTTACGACTTGACTAATCAGTAAATGGATGTCGTTTCGATACTTCCTTTAAGGCGTCCCCACATTTTCAGGTGTCTGTGATGGATACCTCCTTTAGGTGGCTTAAAGTCATACGTGATAAACATCGCCATTGTTGTCTCCATAGGGTGAATCCTCTCGAAGCCAAACCTAGGCCGGTGGTGCTCTTGTTCTGAACTCCCGAAACAATGACCTGCAACAACTAATACATTTTACATACCAATACCTGCTACAAAGCACTCAGTAGTCCTCGTTACTATGACGAAAAAACGGTTCGACTTTTATGCTCCCCTAGTACAACCTTTGGTTTTATGGTGCTCAGATCGATGGCTACCAGACTCCAGCATTTCTCTTTAGTCAGGTTTAAGTGATGTGTAAGTAACAACCAAGTAATAAATATTTAGTAGTCGAAATTTTTAGTTCTAGACTATTTGTTCATTGCTTCACACATGACCATGCTATTTGTTAACAGTGACTTTAGGAGACGTGTTGAAGTCATCAAAAAGTAGTTGAATTCACCTTTTGACGGCTGGATCGTTGAGTTTGAAAGTTGTAGGTTTGTCTAAAGCTTTGCAGCCTTGTGTGAGTTGTTTTGGAGACTAGTTCGAGTCCTGCCTGAAACCGAAAGAAGTTATTATACTTTAGCAGAGTACGCATTGTCAGCGTGGGGAAGGACCAGTGGGAAGTCATGCCGTTCAGAGGAAGTGCAACGATGGAGCTTTCAAGCGACTTCAAATCATTATATCTTTAACGAGCATGTCGAAGCAGGCCCAACCCATCATAATTTCCATTCAGTGATTCACAATTAATTAAAATTTACTCACAGTGGTCATACCTTCTTTTATGTAATTTCCGTTCTTTATCAATGAACGAATTCTCTGGCGTGCAGTAACCAACTTTATTGAAAGTCTTTACTTGCATGTCTGAAGAGGTTTGCATTCTACAGCGCATTATAGCTGTATTGGAAGTGCATGGAGTTACTCGAATCTGAAACATTTACTGGCATTGGGAGTTATTGCTTTTTGAATTAGTAGGGTGTTCTTCTTTAATCGCGTTTGATTGTTTTGTGATAGCTAGAAGCATATCCACTTCCTACGCCTACAAACCTTTGAGCAAGCGGCCATCCTCATCATTTTTGGCTTGACACCGTCATGCCGAAACTTCTTTTGATGAAATTGTCAAATTTGTTTATGCTTATTACTCCCACCCTATTTTGATAAGATAATTTTGCACAAGATCAACAACGTAATTATTGCCATTCCTTTCTCTCCTCCCCATCGCAAGACGTCCGCTGTCCCTCCGCGATAACTGTCCCTACCGCCCTCTTTTCCATGCAGAGGAAATATTAATGAGTTTACTGTGCCATCGATTTGTATCCACCTTCATTATTTTATTGCTGACGCGTCTGGTTGCGCCGTCGCTTCTTCCAATCCTCCGACGCGTGTCTTTTGAAGTGCGGAGGACTGAAAAGTGCTGGGGAGGAAAGGGAAGGGAAGGGCGAATGAGGGCAGCTGCGGTGGGTGTAACGCTAGAAGAATCTGTATTTTATTCCTATTTACTTAAACGTTCAAGTGTGCGTGTGACTGAGCTCGTGCTTTTTCTTGCAGACACAGGCACAGATGCGACGAGTGTCCCCTTCAAATACGTCTCCTAGCTAACCATATGAGGGTGCATTAAAAATAGCCAATTGGCATTTTGTGAATTGAAACACAAACATAAGTGGGGACTATTATAAATATTAAGACGAAAGATACTGGAAGGTGCTACAGCAACTTTAGTACTTTGCCAAGTGAGGAAACAGTCACTCACATTTACTGCTTTAAGTAATCTCATTCACCATTTTAACATGTTTCCGAGTTTTATCTCAGTGGATACGAAGGATGTATCCATTCATTCAGCAAAAATAAAAGCAGAAAAAAGCAAGCACTGATCCCGTTAATGCTCATTATTTAATGTGTAAATTGTCAAAGTTCCGGACAAACTTGAAGATCGTACTGACTGATGTGAGTCTAAGCCTTCTCACAGAACTGTATTTGCATATGCTCTTTGACAATGCTATTATGCACCGGACTTATGCTAATTGCCTTATGACTATTGGCTTGGTCGTGTGGAAGGCTGCAAGTGCCTCGGCATGACATCCAATCAAGCATAATCACGGCTGTTGGTAAGTTAGTTGCCACCTCTGGTAACTTTTCTCATCCCTTTTTCACACAATTTATTCATGGATTTTGCCCTTGATCTGGTCGGCTCTCCATGTCGGTGCTGCCAGAGGGAGACAGTATTTGGACTCTATTTACAGCGCCCTGCATTCTCCTTAGATTTCAGTTATGTGGAGCTGGAGGCTTATGACCACGCATATTTACCATAAATCTGAAACTGAGTTTTGCATTCGAGGTTTACCTCCGCCTACAAATAGGATGTTATCGGAACGGAAATGGCTGTAATGATAACAAGAAAGTCAACAGACTGAGAATGCGAGGCATTCTGAGGCGTATCATTTCAGTGCACGAAACGCGATGAATGTGCTTTAGTGCCATCCACTTAACATGGCAATATAAGTAAAAGTGTTGACATTTTTTACGGCAAATCCAACCCATATTTAGTATTTAGAGCCCACATTTGTCTTGCTTGAAGAACACGCAATTTCAGCTCTTCCTAATCATTGCATTTGAAAATGAAATTGCTTGCCCAAATGGTTTCCCTGTGTGTTTTTTGACTTGTTATTTCCGAAGACTGAAACTTACTCCGACTGCAAGAGCCTACGAATGCAAATTTGCCTACAGATTGACATTACGGGAATTCTTTAAAAACGCTTTTGTGTAGATCGTCAGTAAGGTTATCAAACCCAGTTTTTGGATGATTTTACCACGCAACACGTTTGCTGGTGTCCGCTTAACAACGAAATGAAAAACTCCTGTAGTAGTAAATAGAGGGTACGCAATATATTTGGCCTACATTCAATTTTCCGTTTCTGGGTTACTTCTTCACTTCTGTCTGTAGCGCACGTCATGACCCTGCATGATAAAAATCTTTTCACGAGTCTATCAAACAAACCCCACAGCCACTGGGGAATCCTCTGGCTGAAAAATACACACCATTTTATCCATTTATTGTTTTTTTTTTCAAATCGCAAATAATAGCACTTAGCATGGAGCTCAACTATTTGCTGCAATAAACGCGTACTCACCTTTTCAAAGTGCATTGCAATAGTTCTCTAACAAAGTGCCATCTAATTCGTCAAGTCTAAAATGCACCCATTTGGTAAGAGCAACTGGCATGGTTAGTGAAATGAAGTCCAAGATGGCTGTTAGAGTAAAAAAACCAAACAAATGAATCGAAGACGTTTTTGAAGTAGTGGTTATCCTCGTGGTGATTTACTTTTCCAGCCTCATAAGTCGTAGCGATGTTGAAGCAGTGCCGCGGCCCGGTTCCACGCCTCACTGGATTGCTAAACAGTTTTATTGGCCTTCTCACTTCTTTACGACCGAACAGTTGTTCTAGAAGTGGCATTAATCAGGAATGTAATTTGTTTCATATCTTCAAAGGGAGCTCAATATTTGACAACACGCAACCTGATCCATTTTGAAAGAAGAGTTTTGCAGTGAGACATCGGGTGTCCTACATGGCTCTGTTCCTATCCGCTCCGTCAAGAAAGTTCCCTTATACGAATAGTAAACATTTTTGTGTCACAGTAAAGTTTTGCTTACCGTACTGAGGCCGTAATTTTGCACATTCGTCACAACATCGTACATTTGGCCATGCATTAGTGCCTCAAGAATGTACCTCCTAAACTGAAGGGACTGATGGTGTCCTCTCACTTCATCGAGCACACATTCATACACAAACTATCATTAGTGGAAGGATGAGAGAGAGACAAAAAGAGTACCTACGTATGCGCATATGCACACTGACGTTTGTAGCGGACTCCTGTGTCAGCACCACCACCACCAACATCAGCTTCTGGCTGATGATGTCTGGCGACACACATGTAAATATGCGAAGAATGAAACCAGTGATTGCTTTGTGCATGATAAATGAGAATGCCCACCTCTTGTGGTCCAATATGCACAGCCGTAGTCCAACTGATGGTGAAGGGGAGGTCGCGGCACCCCGCAATTCCTTTGATCGAGAGGCCACAGCACCACTAGATCAACCAATCTGCTGTGTTGCTCTTGGTGGCAAAAGTATTGCGGTTAAAACATCAGTCTGCTTCAATATTAGTCATTTTGAAGGAAAAGTAGTGTCGCCTATATCCCACCTCCGCCGTTTTAATTTGAGTAGTAATGCCACTAACACATATTTAAGTAAATAAATAGTTGGAAACAATGACTTAAAAATAGTACTAAGACGGCAGTAGTCACTGCACTGTTTGCGCCTCAGTACAGCAAAATGAAGTGAAAGCAGAGATCTAAGGATGCGTTGGGTGCAGCACTTTATAACGTGCATTCAAAAATGACTGCCTTTACAATCTACCACATATTCTCCACCTCTCTTCTCACTTTGCATCCCTGTATTCTATGAAACACAATAACAGCAGTAGTCAAAATCTGCCTTCTACCAAATGGGAAAATTTAGGCATGCAAATGTAGTATGTCATTACTTCTTGATGCCTTAATAAATCCATATCCAAATCCTGTGTTTGTGCGAAACTTTTGGGACCCACTAAGCCATGTAAAGGAGGTATTTATCCGAACAAAAGTACACGCATCATATCTTGATGAGCGAAGACATCGTGCAACTTTCTACTCGTTTTAGTAAGTAGAAGGGGATGACGGAAAAAACATCCAATCTGCCACTAATCTTTGGAGTGACCAGCGGTGTGGCGCTCTTCGGCCTTACGCTTTTCACCGTGATTGCCATCTACAGACACCGACTACCACGATGTCTACGCTTCGTGTTAGTGGGGTTGTGCGTGGTGGGCACGACAGGACTATCAGCCTTCCTGCTATCCCATTACGGACTGTTCACACGTGCTCCCACCCTCGCCCTAGGTGATCAGCTCCTTCTTGCTCCTTACACCGACGCCGATCTTGACTCCCGTCTCCTCCAGCTCTTCTGCCACAGCCTCCGCATCAGCTCCGATAGGCCGGGTCTTACCGTCTGGACGGCTGCTGTATCTCCCAATCGCGTTTCTGGCCGTGTCTATACCCTCCTACTACCAGTAAGTGCTATCTCCATTTTTATTCTCCATACACTTCTTCATCCTTTATACATATTTCTATATGTAGTCGACCATATGTCGCTGATTCACGCAACTCCTGTTTGTGTAAAATATTGCAGCCTTGTCGTATAAAACTGAGGTTTCATGTTTTCCAATAAATTAGACGAATTACATGGGTCTTGATCATTTAAGCTCAGTTTTTTGACCTGACCTTTCATTGTCTCCATGGCAGAACCAAATCATAAATTATAATTTACGATTATCTGTTTGAAAGGGTTTCGCGACTGTAAATGACTTAAATCATCAGTTTTTTAAAATAAATCGACGACAGCGTACCGACTATCATGACGAGCAGCAGTCTCAATTATATGCTGGTTATTTTCGACTGTTTTCGCTAGCTGTTCGCTCTCTGGTCACGGCCCTGTGCATTGACAGCACACGTACACTGAGAGAGGGGCAGGACATTACTCAAATGACGCATGGGGGTATGCGCCTCTGTCGGAGGAGAGGCGAGAGGAGGGATTGGAGGTGAGCCGAATGGGAGAGGGAGAGAGCAGGAGAGAACGGGTATATTTCTTTTGATGCCCATTTTTTTACCGCCTCTTGTGTCTCGCTCGTATTTGCGCTCTCGTTTGAAAGCCTCCTCTCCCATCGTCTCCTCTCCGCCTCCACCTACGCTCACAAGCGCACTTGTACCCACACATGCACGCGTACAGAGAGCGCCTCTTGCTGCGCCGTCACCACCGCCACTACACAACACCAATGGGACTGACAAGCCGCGTTCGCCGATCTCTTCCAGGGAGGGGGGAGAAGGAGGGGCGTTGGCAGGGTGTAATGGATGCAGTTTGGGTGCGGAAAAAAATATTCATATGACAGTCTGGTCGGTCGCCAGGGCTTTCTCCAGGCAGGCATATTCATTTTGAAGTCATTCTTTTGGTATAGCATAGTTGGTGATACATTTGGTGTTTCACTTAACACAGTCTTGCATTACTGGTTCTTTTCATCACTTTGGTGGATTGAATCATCATCCCATCTCTTTTCGACTTGTTCACACTTACCGACTTTAACGCCACGAAGAGAGGCTTACAAGCTCATACATAAGTCACCCCAATCCATCCTTCAACCACGCTGTAGGTTTTTTTCCTTCCATTTTCATTTCTCTATAATCAGATAATCTCCCGATTGTCTATTTGTGGAAGAAAATAACATAAGGGAGGGTACATTCGCCATCCAATGGATAAGATTCATCTTACCCGTATTCTGGAGCTTTGCTTAGCCTTCTTCGACCAATTTACCCTTATGCTTACACATGCTTTCAATCTACATTGAGTAACTGATTGTTGATCGTGTCAAGTCAGCGCCCTTTTGCTTCTTTAATTTTTAATGATACAGTTGACACAACACCCTTACATTTTCGACTGCAGGGCCGATGATGCTGCCTTAACGTCACTTTATTGTCTTCGTTGCGTTCTGTCAATCCTATTTTTCTGGCATTGGATAGTTGTCATGCCCTATAGGATGCGGTTTGCTAGCTTACAGTCAAGTCTCACTTTGGAATGTGCCGAACCGTGGATCGCTGTTATGTACCACCCATTCCATGAGGGTTTATATTTCAGCCCTTTTAAATATCGAGACGTTAAATTTTCTGAATAATGTAGAGATTTAGATGACTGAAATGTTCCTGGTCTGCAAGTCGTTTTGGAACTTTTCAGTTTTCGCTTTCACTAGTGACCCATACTTGGTCTTTTAGGTGGTACAAGCCACGCTATACGAAGTAGTTTACAAAACTAAGCAGAATAGTTTGCCGAAACGATCCCATCAAAGTCGTTATGCTGTATGCTCTCTTGATAGCCGTTTTGGTGGGCTGGACCGCCACAACTTGGTTCAATCCCTCCTCTGCTGTGGTTCTTTATTCCGAAACAGTGACTTGAAGAAGCATACTCAGCCCATTACGATATACCTTCTGATGAATGCTGCCTCATGTGTTATTTTTTGTGCATAGCTGCAAGGATAGTTGATTTAAAAGATATTCACTTTGATTGTGGATAATTGTATGCTATCGAAACATGTAAACACCATAGATGTTCAAGTCAGGTAGCTAAAATAGCTGGTTGTTTTGTCATTTAAGTCATTCTATTCTGCAGAGGAAGACGCCTAAACACTTTGCATCCCACACCAGTAATCACCCATGCAGGGACGACGCGCGGAGCTTAAGAGCAGCTCCCGCTCCTTCAGCTAACAACAATGATAGTAGTAATTAACAGTGGATGTCATGCGAACCCTTTAATAACTCAGAACAAGCTCCATCTAACTTGTCGCAGTCCTGTCTACATTTATTTTAATGAAAACCATGCGTGCAATCAAGTAGCCCGACAAAAAACAGTGAACGCGCCCCAAATCCACCACCTCAGAGTGCCTTGCACGCGCACAAGCGTTTGGAGGGCAAAAAAAGCTATCGGAAGTCGTCGCTTCAGTGTTATAGAAAAGTGCCGCCAGCCGGTGTGAGCAGGGGAACGTGGGGCGATGCAGCAGACTGCGCTACGCTCTTTCGCTCGTTCGTTTGCTAGCTGGCTAGCTCGCTCTCTCGCTCTTTCGCCTGCTGTTTCTGTAAGCGAAAGAAAGGGGGACTACTATTTGAATTCACCCGCTTGCAAAAAAAAGTTGGGAGTGCGTGCGTTCGTGCGTGTGTGCTACCGGAGGCGGGCCACTTTCATCAAAGCCCAGACAAGGACGCACGCGGCAGCCGAAAAAAGCTCAACTCAAACGCAGCGAGAGAGAAACAGCAGCAGCAGCAGCAGCAGCAGCAGCGGCAGCAGCAGCAGCAAGGCACTCCCACCCGTCTTCGGAACAAACACAGAGACGCACGTGCGTTCGTGCGCGCAAGCGTCATTTGAGACCATGTCGTCCTCGTCGTCGCTACCCGCGCACGCGACATCAGAGGGCGAGCTAGAGAGGGGAATTTTAAGCGTGAAATAAAAAATGACTTAGTTAATCAAAGGTCTCTATTTAAAAAATCTTCAACTATAGTGCCCCAGCTAGCACCTTAGCAAATGCTACAATGAGACGGGGGTGTGTTAACTTTGAAGGAAGTACAAAATTATCCTTGACCTTGTTTTGTGTAAAAGACACACATGAATTCAGTTGTTATTAGATTTGCCATTGTTCCATCCCTTCATTTTTTGCATTGGATAATTTAACATTTTTTTTCATTGTTCACACGAGAACAGACCAACTTCCTACTAGAAACAAACTTTAAAGCACTGGAGGAAATGCACCGGAAGGTTTCTGCGTTGGTTGATGAACCTTCAAAACTTGTGGGCGGAACGTGATTTGATGATCCTACTTGGTGCCTTTCGCGTATTCAAATCAATTTTTTTTTTTGGGAAAAATTGAGAAATTAGTTAATCCCCCTCTAAGTTGGCAATATTGCCTTCAAGGTTGGTTATGAGTCTCCATTTTTTCTTGGAGGTGTAAAATAGGCGTGATTAAAGCTTGAGACTAAGTTTTCGGCCACGACGAACATTGTCAACTGCGTACATTGTGAAGCAAAAAAAAACCATCTTAACGACGGGATAAAGTGGGAAGCTAGTGTTCAACAAATTCCTGACTATTTCGGAAATAAAGACCCTCATACTTCAAGACGCATGAAGTAGGCGTCAGACCCTTATTGAGATTGTTCCTTTGGTTGACACCTGATAGATCTGTCACGCGCTCTCAGGCGTCAACACTTCAGTCGTTAATACGCAACTCAATTTGAATGACTACTTGAGGAGACAAATTTGTGTCAAATAAGAGGCGTTATAAAACTATTAAATCAAATTTTAGCTTGGTATTGCCAATTCCATTTTTAATGCACTCTGATTTGAGGGAAGGTTTCTGAAAATCTAGCAGTAGGCTGCGGAATATTGTTCGCAATCACCACAATCATCCATCGACAAAAAGGAGTTGGCAGTTGAAGAGTTACTTACTTCCTACTTCTTTCTTACTTTCATATGCTCATTCTCACACTTTTTGTTCCACACCCGACGAACTTCTTGCCAATCGGATTCCGCTTAAAGCAATCGGTATGCAAATTATCATTGGAGCATTAATTATGCTTTACGTTCACTGAAATAGTGTTAAACGATCCGCTGAACTAAATTAATCTGTAATGCCTAAACAGAATTAATTTCTGATGCTAATACCCTCACGCAAAAATTGCCACAAAACTTTTCGGATTAATTTAAGCATAAATTCTTTCTTACAGTTCCTCGTACAATTTGTTTGGAACAATGCATAACATAACCTTTGATTATTAAAATGATGATGAAAGAGAGACATCCATCTGATTGTAGATGGCACAGCAGCCACCATCAGTCATTCCTTTACGCCTGTCTATTGGAGACCGCCTCACGGTGAAGTCAGCACCCAAGGGAACGCAGATGGCGATCTATGCACATGATCGGAACTGGCGCGAGTGGGAGACGGCGGGCCTGCAGCAGGAGGCGCACGAGACCTGTTGCGCGTGGTGGCAGCTGCGTCCCCTGCAGCCCACAATCAGCGTGAAGATAGAAACCTCGGGTCTGCATCACCTCGTACTACGTGGATCTCCCGCAGAAGTGGGAAGTGTTGTGAAGGTCACTTTCAACCGATCTATCTTCGAGGCCGCGGTTTGTGATCCCGTGGTATGCGATGCAATGTACGTTAACTCCTGCCGCGTGGACACGTTCGAAAGACCTAACATTCTCGAGGTACGCGTCGCCGAAGGCTCGGAGAACGAATTTGACCTCCTGCAGGTATATATTGCTTGTGAGCACAAGGGCTGGGCAATCACTCTATTTTCTAGCATCATTCCGTTCGGCATTCTGATAATTGTATGTTTGATCACCTGGTGCAGAGAGCATCGTCGTTTCAAGAGGTCCAGAATGAGTGCGGCTAGCCCGATCTACGCTTATCCTAGGGATCAGAGTGACAGAACTGCCTGTGTCAAACACGACGTTGATTTTGTATAAACACATCTTTTACAAATAAATGTGATGTCACAATTTTATAATGGCTCAAACGATGGGTTAAGTATTTGCTGAAAAACGACTTTGAAGTGATAAAGACTATAATAAGTCAGCATTGAAATGTTAATATGCAACGTTAAATAATATGGTGTATTGAGCAATTGGTCAAAAAAGACAATTTTATGAAGTGACGACATAACATTAAACAAATTATAAGTAAATATCCCTCGACAAAGCCTCAGATTGATGGAATGAAATAAAATGGCGAAGTCCCGACTTGTTCTAACAGTGTTGCTGATGGAGGTGGAAAACAACGCATTCATTTCAACCAGGTAATTGGTACACGCATCCTAATAACTAGAAGGCAATAGCAGAGGCAGCAATCTCTGTCTGAGTCGGGCTTTTGAGAGACGTCGCTCATGTGGGAGGGAGAAAAAGGGTGTGCGCGAGAGAAAAACTACTCTGTTCCCAAACCCATCCTTTTAGTACTCCTCCTTTGCCCGCTTTCTGCCTCCCTCTCGTGATAAAAAGTGCCTTCGCAACGCTATTAATGCAGTGCAGAAATGGACAGTGGTAGGCAGGGAGTGGGCGTGCTAAGCTTTTTGTCCTGTCAAAAGGAAGAATTGGCGGGTCCGATTCATTTCAAGAGGAATGAATGCGCGTACAAGGGCTCCGGATATAACTCCTCCACTAATCAAGTTCTCAACTCACGGATGTGAATGAAAATAAATTTGTTTTCAACTCAACAACAACAATAGTCTTTGAAAGCAAAAAGTGTAAAGGTAAAGACAATGGAAGTTATTCCTTTGTACTTTCCCATACTACTGACGGCAGTTAGATTTTCTCAAATCTCGCCTGAGACAGACCAGACGTCAGGGTCTTTCACGTCTAAACGGTCAACTGACACCGCTTGAGAAGTCACTGCAATGAGTGAATATAGTCTTCTTGTCTGTTGAACATTTTCACAAGCCTCAGGGCTGAAACATGCAAAAATGTCGGATCAGGTGACGCCTATGAGTAGTGAAGTTATTTTACTGTGTGACCTTTCTTCATCATAAACGTAACAAAATTTCATCCTTTCAGCTGTCCTTTTTTATGGTTATTACTTAAACTTGGGCATTGGTACATATTTGGTTCAAATAATGATAGGAGGATGTTTGAGCAATTGAATTGATAACTGTTTGCATGTAAGATGAAGAGCGGCTCCGAATGGGAGATTGCCTAGTGAAGCAGCATGGGTCAAGTTGTCATGCGAACTCGTTAAGGCCTCCTTTTAGTACTCAATGCTGAATCCAAGTTTTATTAGTTGAGGAGTGAGACAGCAGTCGCGGATAAATTATTAAAGTAGCCACTGACACACCGAGGCAATAAAACCCTCTCAAACGCCTCAGAGAGATGAGCAACCGGTGAGTGCTCTGCTGACCCTCTAAATAAAACCGTTTAAAGTGCACCAGGACGTAACAAAGGCCAATTCGGCGGAGTCAGTGCGTGTGCACGTTGTGGCAGTGCCTACTTTTGCTACAAGACCATTGATGCTTGGACTGGGTTCTGAAGGTCTTGGCATCTAAAATGCTAATCAAAAAACCATTTAGAAGGGTTAATTCACACCTACAAGAAGTTGTTAATGCACCCCATTTATATGATAGGAGCACAAAAGTAAGTAACATTTTTGGCTAGACGATTATTTTCAATTGTCCTATCCATAGGAGGAGATTGTTTTGTTTTAAGCCTTTAAGCCAATCAGATCCTCCTACAGTTCCTGCACTTAAGTATGAGATTTTTAGTTGTTTTTACTCACTCTTCAACACTATTATTTCAGTCATCGTGACACACAAGTGTTTTCCATCCCGTCTCAACGATGCACGCTTTCTCTGTTTCGAATCTGCACAGTTAGGGCAGTCGACGCATCGACGGACGCAGTAGCACACAAATTTTTTTCTCTACTTCCTCAAGCATAAGACGGTACCACCTAATGGCGTTAGAAATTTTTTGCATTGTAGTTTTATTGTGGGGCGCAAGTCCTTACATAAAACAATATTTCCAAAATGATTATTCAGGGAGAGGCGCGAATATTATTTACTATTGCGATGAAAAGGAGTAAAGTAAAATGTGAAATGTGAAGTACTTATCACCTCTTCAAGACAAAATAAACCGTTCAAGTGAGTCGCCTGCTGTGCTTAACATCAGCTCCTTTGGATAATCTCGAAAATTCAAATAATGCCGCATCAGCTTTAACGTCTGTCAAGCAATGGTGGTGAGGTTAGTGCCCATTATTTTGTGGTTTGCATTCCAAAGACCTTGTCGCTAAACTGGGTTCCTCCCTCGGGAAAAATTCCGTCAACCTTGTTATTCTGCTTCCCTCACCCTGTAAGTGTGGAAGTTGCTGCATTCCTCTTGGGTCTGCGTTTTAAGGAATGCGTCTCATCTCATCACGTGGTTGAGCTCCCAGTGCCTGTTTGTGCCAGCCTTTCCCATTGATGCCGCATAACTGAGCAGTTAGAATAAAAATCTGGTCCAAACCGTCAACCTTTGGCAAACTTTTGAAACTTTATTATTACCTTCTATAAAACTCACTTCTATCAGCATAACTGATGCTAAAGCATTCTTCCTTATCTGTTTGTCTAAAAAAGGGCTTAACTGTGATTCTGTTAGGCATATTAGTTGGGAGAGCCATTCCACCTTTCCCAACTTTATAAAGCATAATGTTGGATTATTATACTTTTATTCGACCTGAAATCGTGCACCATTGAGGGAAAATGGCAAAGAAGTGCATACATTAATAAGGTTTTGGCTTGCAGCACTTTAGGCTAGGGCACCCATTCGGACTAGGTGATGCAGGGAACCGAGGCTAATCGTAAGTCAGCCCTGGAGCACGCGATACTTCGTAGGACACCGTACAAGCGAATAAAGTAAAGAAGGTAATTGATTGTTTGGTCGAATTTAAGCCCCTTGCTCAATGTAGCTAAAACGTGCACACGCCTACTTTGTTCGCGACTCACTGTGAAGAGTCTTTTTCCTGAGAAAATACACACTTAAGTAAACTTAACTTGTTTTCGCGGTTTCCTTTGGAACCCCTCTCCTTCACCAGGCAAAAAGATTTTTCACCAGAGCAACCGTGCGTGCGTGCCTCCGCGCTTGCTCGCGCTTAAGCATTCGCTTTTGCTGCAGTTGAAAGGAACGACTACACGAGGAGCGAGAGGGTGATGCCATCGAGCAAAAAAATATCATGCACGTCTTCCTTCGGTGGTTAACTATCTTGTTTTCCAAGACGCGTGGAATAATTAAGCGAGACTCGAATTTTCTTCACGCTATTAGGAACACAAATATTTTAAAGCCACGTCCCCCAGCTTTCTCCCTTGGCCCTTTGTTCTTCGTTTCTTCCGCCTTTTTTTCTGGCACGTCCACACTCAGGCCGGTGCGTCTCTCCCCGTTACGTACAACCAAGCCTTTTTGTGAAGGGGCATGTCTACAAAGGAATTAATTCTTTTTCCTCTTCTGCCTCTTAATCGGAGGAGGGAAATGGAAGTGTAGCGGCAGGAAAGTCGGTTTCGCTGATGATTTAGAAAAAAGGAGTAGGAGAATTAAATTGGGACCGCTTGGCTGTCACCGCTGATCGTTCTATCCAAATGCTCAGTTTCTGTAACAATTTCTTGCATTAGTCCTTGCACTGACGTCTTGATCACGATGCCATTTATAAATTGTTTCATACCCTTTCAAGTGGCCACTGCTAATATCGCCTGTTTAATAGTCAAATCGCAATAATGACTGCAAATGTTTGAACTACCGATTAATGTGTCCCCTCAGGAAATAAGCAGCGCAATTAAAATAAAAGCGGTTGTGGAGACACTGATAATTGTCTGTCAGTCAGGGCTGTTTAAATCCAAATTTGCCATGCTCATCAGGATCTACTTTTGAAAGTGCTTTTATAAACATAGTGGAACGCGACCATAAAAGGATCGAATTAGATGGTCCAATTAAGATGCCACAATTTATCAACTCTGACTTGAGATCCTGAAGCGCGTTTTGTGTGCGCAGAATGTTTAACAGTCTATCGGGTTGATCTCTGACAAAGTGAAAAATGAAGACGATTAATGGGTAATGCGACAACATTAGTAAAACGCTAGCGCGAACAGACCTCTTTCAGCCGCCTCCCTCTCTGCATCTGCTACACAAGCTTCCCATCACAGTTATACCTTCTACGTAAAGTAACAAATGTGTGGTCTTAATAACCCCAATACTGTGACTAGGATATTTGTCACACCTGAATCCAGTCTCTTAAAGTTTTGATTTATGTGTCACTTAACCACTTTAATCCGAGGTGGCATTCTCGAAACTTCGAAAGCATCGCAGAGAAGTCATTTATCAACCACCATCCTGCATCATCATTTTGCCTCAGCTCTGTGTGACTTTATGCGCTACTAGTACCGCACGAGGGTGCTACGCAAAATACATCAAAAAGCACTGGAACTGGGCTTTACCAGACGGCCACACCGCTTCCCGGCGACAATTCGCCCCTTATGTCTCCATTACACTAAAATAAATGTCATATCCGTCTATATGGCATAAAATCTTTGTGGTGGGTTAAATGAAGGACACAAGCAGCATACATCAGACCAAAATTCATTAGGGGTTCGTTCCTTGACCTGAGGAACAGATCAGCGGAGTTATGTTTGGATAAGTTATGCTTAAATTGTCAGAGACACTACTTTCCTAAACGAATGGCTGCCGTGTATTTGTAGAGTCAAACTCGATTGGAAAATATTGGTGAATGAACGTTGCAAAGCCACTTCTTTCTTCCAGTTATCAGTGAATCGTTCTCCCACCATTCTCCTCCACGGAGGTTCTGTCCCTTGTTCTTCCTCTTTACAGCAATATATCTTCGTTGTTCGGGTTGACAAGTGTGGGCACAGGCATGCACGTGAAAGCGCTCCAGTTTAACAACCAGAACATCAGTTAATGTCGCCTTCGATTTCCTCCTCTGCATTTATGCGCAGCTGAAGGAA